TAGTATTTGGGGGGAATAAGGATGGTGGAAGGGGAGAAGCAAAGTGAAGGGGGTTGATCAAGGGGGAGGGGGGGGGGGGGGGGGGGGGGTTGGCAGAGTACTACATACATAATATGCACACTCTTTACGCGCAGGGTTGGATCCCGGAAAGTCATAAGTAAACGAGGAGATTTGTAACGCTCGTTTGAGCGTCGTAGTTGGGCAAAGGTAGGTAAATAACTACTTGCAAGTGCGGTTTCGCCCCGTGTGGCTAAATTTGGTTTGGCGACAACAGACGCACGGCACAGAAGCAGCAAGCACGCATGTTCAGCACTTGGAACATCGTTCCGGCGTCACCACCGAGCGGACGAAGATTCAGTATACACAGACCCCCCTTTCATGCGGTTCTGCACAGCTTTCGAAGGTGGTATATTTTAACAGAAGGAACGCCCAAAGAAAGCGACACGAATTCGACGATTCTCACTCTGGCTCAACAAATTCATGCGGTTCACCCGTTTCGCAGCGGCGCGCGCGCTCGCGCGCGCGAGGGGGGGGTTGCTGCTCCTGCTGGCTCTTCAAACACAGAGCAATGCTGTCGAAACGAGTTGTCTGATTCACACAACCGTGGGAATCTCTACGCGAAGCGCGTCCGAGGTTGCGACAGCGACGGAAGGAAGGTGCACCTGTCTGTGCGTGTTATCTACCAGGTCCCAATGCTTGCCCACCTGCATGCTCTGCCGCCTGCTGCTCCTAGCCGAGTTTTGTGCGGTTTTGTCGGCGTCTTGCATGGCGTTTCCCGCCAGGACCCCTCCAAATGATCGCTGCTCGTGCGCGCGCGCACACACACGCACGTACGATACGACACAGAGAGGCGGCGTGAGGCACGCTTCAGCACACAAACGACTCAATACACAGCAGAGTATACCCGCGTGAACAAAATTGATGCATGCGACAGGAGTCTACCAAAAGACAAAACCGTGACGGCAAGCATATACAAACGGCGGGGATGTCGGAGCGGTAAAAAACGAAAAAGTGTTGGCCGAAAAATAAAGACCAAGCAAGATATCTATCTCCACGGCGAAGACGGACGAAAAGATATCCCGATTATTGGATGTGGGGTGCACCCACACATGTCGTAGGTGTGCACCGGGCTACCGATCGAATGGCGAGCGAGGCAGGGCAAAAAAGTAGGGGGTGAACAAGGAGTAGCACGGGGGTTGCAGCACCCAATCGCGGGGCTTGGCGTCTTGCTTGGGAAGGTGAGCAACCGAGTCTACCGTGCAATGTCACCCGAAAATGTTGCAAAAAACACGAAAAACCGAAAACATATTTTACCTTCACAGCCGACAGCACCTTCGCCGCGGGCACTTAGACACTGACCTGTCAGACACTCAAAAAGTTAACCTCCGGTAGCGCCCCACCTGGTTTCTCTGGAATATGTGTTTTCACGGCACCAAGTCGGTATTCTAGCCAGCGCGTGATGCCTATCGACCTACGCTCGTGCGTGCTGCTATCAACACACACACACACACAAACACACACTCACGCGTCCCCTGGGAGCAGCAGCTTCGAGCGCGGCGGGGGCGGCGGCGGTGGCTTGCCCCACCCCGGCGGCGGCGCAGCCGTCACGTAGACCAGGAGCAGCAGGTGCATCATCGTTGGTCGTGACCACTCTCGGACGTCCCTCGTTGCGGGAGACGACGGTTGTCGGGACGGAGGGGTTCGTGGGTTCATGATGACCATCGACCGGCCGCTGCCCGTTGCTGCCGCCGCCCCCGGTCCCGTGCAGGAGGTGGTCCAAGAACGACCGCTGAGGGCGAGAGCGGTGACCGGCGACGACAGAAAAAAAAAAGAAGCTGGTTGCTCGTTTTGCTGGGTTGTTGTTTCGGTCGTTGGTCCGACTGGACTGGCGGTCTATTCGTTTGTGTTCTGATGGACGGTGTTGATTGATGGAAGGCATACCGTGTATGACACAAGATAACACCCCCCCTGGACCGATTCTCAAAGCTCGATTTCCAACAGCATCAACAGTCGCGGGGCCGAAAATGGCGGCGTTGAAGCCGTCTGGTCGAGAGCTCTCCGAAAACGTATCGTTTCGCTTAGCATCCTCTTCGTCGTGGAGTAATCGAGCTTTGAAAATCGGTCCAGGGGGTGTGTTATCTTGTGTCAAATACGGTATACCGAATCGTTGGGGCTGGAGCCGACACCCATCACTTCTCCTGCTCATCTCGAGAAAGGAAACGGTTTCCGGCGTGTGCAATTGGATGCTTCACCTTGGCAAGGCTGACTTGTGTGTTTTCATCTGTTGCGGAAAGATCTGCACAGCAATGGGCTGGCTTGGTGCTTGCTGATGCGCTGTCCGCTGAAACGCTTACAAGATAGCGCCTTCAAATGGGCCATCAAGCGTCGTCGCCGCCGCCGACGTCGACGTTCGTTCACTCGCTTTTACAATGCTGCTTTCGCGCCATCCTCTTCGCGGCTTCCCTCTCGCGCCCACCCGTAACTGTGGCAAGACACCTTCAAACGTGGTACGACCTCATCACCCGCCGGCTACAGCTGAAGATGACCTTTCACTGGGTCCTGAGTGCGGCCTAATCACAATCGAGCGATAGCCAAAAGCGACGCTTTGATGCCTTTCGTGGAGGCTGGGTTCACATCCCAACGCCCCCCCGCCCTAAAGCGACGGTGATCGTAGTTCACCTGACCGCCTTCTTGGTCACTGTCGTCGTCGCTGTCGTCGCTGCCCCCCAGCTCTCGCAGCGACTGCATGGAGGAAGAGGGCCCCGGCCCATGCCCTCCCCCTCGTTGCAGCTGCTCCATCTGTTCGCGCAGGGCCTGGATGAAGTCTGCCGGCGGGGCACGCGATGTTCACAAGACGCCAGATGCCAGAAAAAAAGTGACGTCTTAGCCGCAATGACAGCAGCGAAACGCACCGACAACAACGACAGCAACGGTGGCGACAACGACAGCAAACAACAGCAGTACCGGCACCTGCAAACCATAGCCGCCACCGCCACGACGGCAATCGGACGAAAGGCCCCCTAATGCTATCTCCAAGGCAAAATGCACCCCCCGCACGGAAAGGACAGCACTCTGGCTACTCACCGTCCTTTGCCTCGAGCTCCTGCATGAGCCAGGTGTTCTGCTCCAGCAACCAGGCCACGTCTTGCTCATCATCAATATCATCATTATCACCATCACCATCACCATCGTCGTCAGACTCCCCCGCCTCCTCGATTCTCGCACGCAAGGCAGAGGCGTGAACTCGGTCGGCGGCGCGCTGTCGCGAAGGAAGAGACGAAGATTCACGCGCAACGATTCTCGGTATGGTAAAAAAAGGCAGCGCGTGTGTGGGAGGGTTACAAACCACATAGGAGTCGGGTAGCCCTCAAAACCGTGCAGCGTCGCGCGATTAAGAAACAAGAGCAGAGGCGTAGGACAAGCACATGTCACGCCAAGGGCTGTTGAAAAACGGACGTCGCCGCGCGTTGTTAGCGGCAGGGCAGGGGCTGCAGGTGGGGGTGTGTGTAATCCAAGAAGACATGTCGCATTCAACGCGAACGACGACAAGAGCAGTCTCTTTTTCTGCTCTCGACACGGTAGAGGCTAGTATATATAGCCATACGGGTCAGGGGTGAGACTAGTGGCACATGGAAGAATAATACCGGCACAAGAGGACGCAGTGCTGCGGCATGACCCCCCCCCCCCGAAAGCAACCCCTCTCACCAGCTCGTCATTCCAGACCTCCGACTCCCCACCCTCCGCATCGTTCTCCTCCTCCTCTTCCTCCTCCTCCCCTTTGTCGCCTCC